TGTATGAGAGAATGGAACATTGTATCTATGAGACCATGAAACATTGTATGTATGAGAGAATGGAACACTGTGTGTATGGGAGAATGGCACATTGTATGTATGAGAGACTGGAATGTTGTATGCATGAGACAATGAAACATTGTTATTATGAGAGAACAAAATGTTTCCTGCTCTTGCACCATCTTCACCCTTGTGGTTATGTGTGAGTCCATTGTTCTGGAAACTGTGTCTGTCTACCTCCTGGAGGAGTCCTCTCATTTTTGCTGACCCTCTGCTTTACTTCATATCTGTATCTCCCTATTAAAGCTAATTGTGCTTTTTTTTCTACATCCAACTTCCATTTTCCACCTTTACATCATAACTGACTTTTGGGTAGTCACTGTCATCTCTTGGATTTCTTAAGAGACATTTTAATGTATGGTGTGATTTTATACTTTTATTTTTTACAATAAAGAAAATGGCCCCTTTTTTCCCCTCCTTTGAATTGTGTTGCCCACATAGTCCACTTGTTTGGTGCATCCTTCAGCGTCTTCAGTTCCCTGTGGGTGCAGACCTGTCCCCAGCCAGGAGAGAATGGGGCTGATCCTTTCTCCACTGAAACTCTCCTGGCAATGCCGATGACTGCTTACCAGGCTGAGTTCTTGAAGAAGGGGGGACAGGTGTTGGGAGGAGCCCTGGAGATGCAGGAATCTGTTCACGTTGGCTTTCCTTGTTCCAAATAAACTATTTCTTGGACATTCCTTCTTACAGCGTTGTTCTTTATTTCAAGGTGGGGTGGGCTGTTTAATGTTTTTCTCAAGTATGAAGAGGCTCAAATTTAATTAGAAACATACAACTCAGACAAGAAAAATGGAGATCGAGGAAATGATGGTCTCACTCACAGAATAAAACCAAATTGAGCTTGGCAATTCAAGACTCTAACCAACTTGACCACAACTGAATGGGCTGTGTTACTGTTATTATTTTGTACTTACAAAGGTACAAAGTCTATTCACTAGAGGAAAAATACGGAAAGTTCTTCACCTAGAGAAAAGCACTGTGAACATTTCCTCAATTTACCCTTCAAATGGCACCCCAAACCTACCATTCTGGGGTTTATTCTGATGCATAGTGACCCTATAGAACAGCATAGAGCTACCAAGATTGAAATTGTCAAGGACTTCATTCTTCTTGGATCAACTATCAACACTCATGGAAGCAGCAGTCAAGAGATCAGATGACATATCACATTAGGCAAATCTGCTGCACAAGACCTTTTTAAAGTGTTGAAGGGCAAAGATGTCCCCTTGAGGACTAAGGTGTGCCTGACCCAAGCCATGGTATTTTCAATAACCTCATGGGCCTGCAAAAGCTGGACAGTGAATAAGGAAGACCGCAGAAGAAATGGTACATTTGAGCTATGGTATTGGAGGAGAATATTGAAAGTGCCATGGGCTGCCAAAAGAACCAACAGATATGTGTTGGAAGAAGTACAGCCAGAGTGCTCCTTGGAGGCCAGGATGGACAAACTTCATCTCTCATACTTCAGACATATTGTCAGGAGGGACCAGTCACTGGAGAAGGATATCATGTTTGGTAAGGTGGAGGGTCAGAGAAAAAGAGGAAAACCCCCAGCAAGGTGGATTGGCAATATGGCAGCATCAATGAGCTCAAGCATGGCAACAATTGTGAGGTTGGCTCAGGACTGGGCAGTGTTTCGTTCCGTTGTGCTTAGGGTTGCTATGAGTCAGTAGCAACTGGATGGCACCTAACAACAACAACAAAGAGCTGCCCCATAGGACTTCCAAGACAGCAGTATTTACAGAAGTTTTCTCACGCTGGCCCTCCACACCCCCATTCCCTCAGGATGGGGACAAGAAGAGGCCAGTGAAACCTACATGTGCCATGGAGTGTGTTACAAGGCAGAAGAGCTGACCACAGGGTCAACTGCTCGACAATGGGCAGTAAGCATGCTTGCCCTTGGCTCCTGAGGGAAACGCTGCCTCTATCTGTCGAGTCAGTTTGAGCGACCATCTGAAACAAAAGGAGGGTCAGTGCCTTGCTCATAAGACATGTACCAACACAAGAAACCCACGGAGAATGGTCCTCCAACATCATCCACCTGTTAGCCCTCAGGACCGCTCAGTCTGCCTGGCATATGAAGTATCTCAGTTTAACAATGACACTGAGGGACCTCCGTGGACCCCTCAGGAGCAGTCCTGTGAGTGTGTCACTTTGGGTTCAGCAGGTCCAGGGTACGGCCTGAGAGTCTGCATGTCTAACAAACTCCCAGACCAGTTGTGTGTC